TCTGCGCTTCTATGTGGTATCTGCTTTAATCCATTGTCCCGTTCGCAAACAAGAGAATTTGAAAAGGAGCCAAAATCACATTTGCTTTTTGTTGTTTCGTTCTTGTTACTCATAAAATACAACGCGTACATTATGTAAATTTCGAACTTTATTCTGAAAATAGAAAAAATGAAGATGGAGGGTATTAAAGATTCGATCACGACCTAATATAATTTTTTTACTTGTTTTTATTGTAGTTATCGTATGACCATTTATTTGGAAAATGAAATCCACAAAGTGTGAAATGAAAGGTTGCTGAATAGCTTAGATAATGTGTTCACCGGTATTGAAAACTTTACGTTATTGTTTGCTTGCTCGGCTATCCATACGGGTACATTTTTTTTGTGTCGAAATGCCTTTATTTAATACGAGTGAATTTAACAAATATATACATCTGATACTCTTTTTACACGATACACCTAAAAAATAATAAAAAGTTGTTGTTAGAGTTCGCTTAAGCATTTATTCCGTACTTGCACACTTTATTAGGTGTTTGCAAAAATCTTAATCACTTGTTCACTTAAAAAAGGCATTTATTTTCGAAAATAAGTACCAATAATTATTAATGAAAATAGTTACTATCTTTTCCTACAAGATTTTACAATATTTTTGGCAACATGGCTATAACATGTCGAAAGAACTTATTTTGGTTTGGCAACGAACCGCCCACCGACCCATTTTCGCACTTCTTCAACTTTGTAGACACGCGTGCCAGCCAAGGCATGCTGCATCGATCTGAACGAGTGGTAATCAGGAGGCACCATGTCTGGTGAGTACGCTGGTTGTGTCAGAGCTTTCAATTCGAGCTGCAGCAGCGTATCCTTGACAACTCTTTCAACCAAGTGTCCAAACAATGGTATTTTCAGGTGACTCGTGCCGCCATTTTAAAAATGTTGAACTCAAGGCAGACAATTGTGATATGATGAAGCGGCATCACCATGCGCCGCTGAACATGGTTGGTAGGTTTCGGCAGCGGATTGCTTCAAATAAACAGCAGAAGAAAAAGAATTTTGACAGCTACATAATTAGCATCGGCGTACGCTGAATAAATTAATAATATCGGATGGAAAACTGATATTTTATGTAGAGGATGGTCACAAACATCGAATTCAACCATTACGTATACTGGTATTTTCCATTTTTGCCTGTAGTAGTTGCTGACCAAATGCTTTGCTATCACTTAATAATTCATAAAATCGATTATAACGAATAACGCACACTTTGAAAAATGAAACCAGATCGCGTGAAATATGCATTACGTGTTAATACTATGCATAATTCGGGAATTCCACTCGTATAAGCATATAGTCGACATAATCTACCTGGATAGTAAAAAATACAACGCAAGGTTACAATGCATATTTGTGAGGTGTGAGAATGAAAAAATTCATAGAAATACAAAAAAACAAAATCATTAAATGAATTCATAAAAAAATTCATAGAATATTTGAAATCGTGTTGAAAAAAATACAGTTCGTGTAAAAAGAGTATTATTTTTATTTTTAATTCGTTTTAAATTAAATTCGTGCAAAAAGAGAATGCTGGATATACTTATTTGATTTTCGACTTCCGGTTTGAATTAAACATTAAGAGTATGGGTAATGTGTCTATATAAAAGGAAGATATAATAGATGTGGTGTCTTCTTGCTTGATAGCTCTAATCTAATAGGTTTATAATTAAAACATTGGATCGCAGCATTAATCTGTTTATGTAACCATTTCGGTAGCGATTTATTTCATCCGAAAACATTCAGGATATCAAGATCGGTATGTAAAGTGTCGTCCCTTACAGGCTAAGGAGAATTTATGATTAATCTTAAGATTTTAAATTGCATTTGCGTTCCCAATAGCTAGCTCGCATACGTCCATACTGACTTTTAGAATGATTTTGCAGAGTAAAACTTTGTACTTCAAACTAAACTGGGGTTTTGAGATTTTGATTCTAAAAGTCAGTACATTGTCTGTGTTGTCATATTTCGCTATGTATAATATGCTTTTTCCAATTTAGCCTTCTATCGATGTATAGGCCAAGGTATTTCACACTATCGGATAATGGAATTGTTACGCCATTCAATTTAAGAGTATGGCAGCCTTCTTTTCTTAGGTTAAATGTAACATGTGTCGATTTTCCGGTGTTTGCTTGAATATTCCAATTTTTGCGTCATCTTTGTGTCGCATCTAGATATTTGGCAATAGTTGCTTATGTGCAAATATTGTATTGATAAACGCATTAATAGGCTCACGATAGTTAAAACTAAAAATCTTTTGAAGAAAAAAATGTAAAAATTTTATCATCGGTTTATGGTTCTCGATATCGAGTATACTGGTTCGCAATTTCAATATCTTACTTGAAAGCGAAGAATTTTTTATTTGATAGTAAGGAAAATGCATAGTTTACCGTACAGCTAACTACTTTTCTAACGTCATAGCGAGTCCAAAATCTACAGCTAACGTCTTTAGTCATCTGACTTTACCAGAACCGTAAGTTAGGCTCCTGGCTTAGCTAATTAGTACCAAGCTAAGCGACGATATTAGATGTTCTCCTATTTTATTTTAAATCCTTGCACTCTTGGTGGGCGTGTTAATTCAGATTTTTCTGAGAGTAACTGAAAAGAAGATTTTAGAAATATGTTTCCAAGAAAACCAAATGCTAGCACGAAATCCACTTTATTGGAGTGTAATTCGCAAATGTTACATTGTGACGTGCGGATAACGATTTCTATTTCACTTCCGATCTAGAGGAGAGCACTAGTTACCTTTTTCTACAAAGGTAGAATTCTTTTTTTTTGATGGGTAAGTACGTACATTTTTTGGACAATCTTTTACTGGCGATCATAACTAGAGCGTCTGGGGTTTAGTAACGGGAAATTGTTTAGGACATTTTGTCTGATTTGCATGATAGCGTCAAAATCATTTAGAGAATTTTTTTTTTCTTTTTTTTTTTTAATGTTACCAATCACCCAGGGGACGTCCTCTATTCGTGTAACATAGCCACGGTCAGAAGCGAGTAGGCCGCAGGCTAGTAAGTGTGTCTCTAATCGATAATTGTTATGCGTTTACCGACTGAGCATGCGCTGTTGTTACGACCAACGTAAACTGTACCGCACTGAGATTTGAACTCGCGGACTTTGACTTGGTAATTGCGATTCTTACCTGCTTGTCTACTCATTCGAATTTGGGATCTTAACAAGCTTCAGTTAATTTATCATGCATCAGTTTTTACTGGTTCCACAAGTATCGCGCTTGTACCTCATCGTAAGTTTGCGTAAGTTTGATGGATACCAGCCGTCAACATGGTAACGTGGTAATGTTTGCAAAACTATGCTGGTAAATAAGTTATGGACTAAAATTATTCTTACATTTGTATGATTTTTATGTTTTCCGAGATAGTCACAGATTTTTAATTACAATGGTTAAGTCATTTTCAAACTTCAGTTGCAGGGTCCAGTTATAAATAACGCGAGCGACTGTTACATGAACCTTTTGAAGCCAATTTTCGAGTTTTCTGCAGAGACCGAAACAAATGCTAGTCGCGCACATACACGCTTTATTAACTGTCACTCCACTGCGGTGCATTGTCAATTTTTGTGGCTGTTGAGGGTAACCGTCACAATGCATCAATGCATTTTGCTGCATATAATATTAAAAATATTACAATAATTGATTATTGTCTCCCTTTGTGGGCATGCGAATAAAAAAGGAAATAATTTTTCTATTTTTTTTTTGTTTTGAAAATTGCATTAATAATTTATCCATATATTCTCATATTTTTGTTGAGATATATATATGCCTATAGAAGATAAGATGTTAGTATTTGATCATCGTAACAATTAGTCAAAGTTTCATTTATTTAGTAGATGAGCGACTCGCTCTCTAAACTGTACATGAAAAGTTAGCACTTTTTCAAATTTGCAAAATGTGTTTATAAAATGAAACTTTTTGACTTTTGAATTTTGTCTTAGGGCAAACATTTTAGGTTCTCTACTATGAAAAAGTTGAAAACTATTTCATTGTACTTTGTACGGGAGTAATCCCGGTGGTAAAATATATAAAAACAATTATCTCTTTTGTGTGTAGCCGAAACAAAAAAGCTCAGGGCCGGATGTAAGTTACATACTTGTGGTAACATATAT